TCGACGCTGGGTTTCCATCAGGTGGGAACAAAGGAGGTGGATGAGATGAAGTTTAGAAAGAAAAAACCCCCAACCAAGAATTCCGCATCCGGGAGGTGCCCTTTGGAAGCACTGCAGGCCTCGGCAGCGGGTCTCTCTGGGGCCATTATTCGGCCCACAGCACCTGTCACTAAACCTCCGTGTGGCTCCCCAGACAGCACTAAGTGCTGGCAGCAAGGGACCCAAGGTCCTCTTGCCAGATTTAGCAACAACAAAAACTGAAGGTGTGTCCGGGAATGGAATTGCAAACAAATGACAAAGTGTCTCAGTGTGAGTGTTTCCTGGGACACACTTACACACTAATGATTGTTCACTTGAAGTTCAGATTTAGCTGGGCATCCTGTATTTCGCCTGGCAACTCTGTTTTCTGGTAAATCCATCCAGCCCAAAAGAAAGGCTTTAAAGGTGCTGACATTGGTGTCCTCCACAGACACGGCCCGCCAGGGTCCCCTAGAGTCCAGGCCAAAGTCAGCCCCTTCCGCGGCTGTGCAGAGCTTCCAATCTGATTTTTAGTAGCCCACTCTTAAATGACCCTATTTTGGGGAAAGAGTCTAATGTGAAGGACTGTTTTAAAGTCACACTGAGGAGATGCTTTTTGGGTAAAGGAGACTTTTTAACTCTATGCTGGTTTCAGAGCACAAGAAACAGCAGCGGGGTGCGTTGAGGCAGGGACTCTGACAAAGCCAACGCGGGATCAGCCGGGTGCGACTGGAGAGAGACGGCTCCACCGAAGGGCAGGGAGCTAAAGCAGGCATCTCCCAGAAGGTGGAACCGAGAGGAGAGATGGAAACAAAAGAGAGAGACTTAAAACCATAGGGAGAGCGCAGGGGCTCGGCGGGCACTAATCAGGAGCAGCTCAGGAAGAACAAAGGAGCGGAGCTCGTTAACCAAACACATCAAGAAAGTCCCAAACGAGACCATGAAAGGGACGGTTCAGGACGACGAGGATGAGCTGGCAGTGCGCAGGCGCGAACACGTGGAGAGTCCACACCCCGGGCCAGCTGGGGACCTAATTAGGCACAGTGAGTACACAGGAAATGAAGTGAGTATGAGAACAGGATCAGCACGTCAGGGAAAGAGCAGTGTAGACAGGAGAAGTGGTCAGCGGGCTGCAGCAGTATGGACACTTCGGTGTCTCCCAAGCTGGGTGCCACCACACAACACGGGGAGCCCTGGGGAGCTCTGCGTTCCTGTGGGGTGGAGGGGCCGAGGGGCTGGGTGGTTGGTGGCGGGTGATGCGGGAAAAAGGCTTCAACCACAGCTTCCAGGAGGAGGCCAAAGACACACCTACAAGCACAGAGTCAGGAAATGGCACGAGCAGGTCCCTTAGAAGTGGGGACGGTCAGTCCAGGAGCCACCCGTCACAAGCCCTGGAGTCGGCAACTCTGGTGACGAGAGGAGGACCGTGGCAGGGCAAAGGGGCCACAGCTTCTAGGAACAAGCCTCACAGAACTGCACGACTCTCCCCCAAGCGCACGAGCAGCGTGGAGAAAACAAAATCCCAAATCAGAGCAGAGGTCACGCTGCTGGGGGGAAGGAGCACGTGTGTCCCCGTGGCTCTCCCGCTCTCCGCGGACGGAGGCCACTGCGAGCGACAAGGGGCGCAACAATGACGAGGGGACAGGAACCTGTTCAGCAGGCTGCTCAGCTCCACCTCCTTGAGGGGACACCCACAGTCTCGCAGCACTTTCCGCAGCTTGCAGAGGGAGACGGAGCCGCTCTTGGATTTATCCAGTGTGGTGAGGGCTTTGCTGATGTCTTGATAATGGTCCTCGAGTTTAGCCCTGAAAGAGAGCACGCTTCAGACCCCTCCAAAGCCAGGGAGACACTTTCTTTAAAGCTCTAAGGCAATGGCTTGATGGCTTCTTTAAGAACTGATCTGGAAGGTGTTTCGCAGGCTCGGTGTGATATTTATGTTAAAAGGTATCCCAGAAAAAATTACATGTGTCCCATTATCATTTTATTATCATTAGCAAATCTACACTGGAGAAATTACAACCTGTCTTTTTACTGAAATTGGTACTTTGAAAATGGAACCAAGGATTTAAAATTACAGGGAGATTTCAGACGTGAAATACACCTTCGGTCTCAGGAAAGGCTCACCTTCTGCACGCCAGGCACTGCCCTGGGGGCTGAGGCGCCCCCGAGAGTCAAACAGGAATCCCTGGGGCATTTACATTCTGGTGGGGGCCGAGGGACCATGACAGAAGCCCCAAGGGCACTGTGGCGACGTTGGTAGGCAAGAGAAAGAGCCAGTAGGGGACCGTGATGCCCACGTCCAGTGGGCGGGGACTCTAGGCGGGAGTGCAGGAGGCCTCCCTGGGACAGGACACTGAGCAAAGACCAGGAGGCGGGGTTGGCTGTGGGAAGGACTTTCCCAGGGGTCCAGGGAAGAGCTGGCCAAGGCCCTGTGGCAGGAGTGGGAGAGGGCAGGGGCGGACAGGCCAGGGTTCCAGTGGTTGGGGGACAAGGCAGTGTCCCCGGACACCTTGTTTTTTGATTTGGTCTTTTTACTGTTAAGAAGCACAGCCCCCGTTGGGTGCAGTGGTACCGTGCGTCTTCTCAACAGCCCTGCAGGGCTATCAAGCCCACTGACAGATGAGGG